ATCCAATAATAGCTTCATTTAATTACAGAAAATGCAATTACCATCTTGGCTGTAAATATGTCTCAATATGTGCTGATGTGCTAGTATAGGAAAAAATATAATATAAATGAAAATGCAGACTTACTTTGCTCTGCTTTAAGCTTTAGCTCAGCTATAGCTGCTTTTCTCGCATCTCCAGCAGGAAACTTTTCCGCAAAAGTAGAAGAGTTTCTCGTAAAATGTCTCTCAGTGTTTTACTTTTGACAAGGTTCAAGTCAGCTTCTCATTTGCCTGCTTTCATTTTCCCAATTCACAATAATTTTCCTGTTTAATTTTTTTCTGTTCAAACTTAAGCTAAATTCAAGCTAAATTCAGCTTCTTTTTTGCATTTTTCCCGTTCCACCTTAAATCGTGCAGTAATTACTCTGGCACCTCAGGCACCATTTAAGGGGGAGCGGGAAAAATGTGAACGAGACACTGAGTTTAGCTATGTGACTTTTTAGTGTTTGACAGTTTCTGGTTGCAGATAAAACATAAGGAAGCATCAGGAAACCAGCTGGAGTGCTTATAAATGCAAATATGTAAAGTCCATTTTTCTACAAATTATCGATGTTCGTCTTAAATCTTTCTCTTTGCCTTTTCTTTAGCTACTAGCTAGGCAAGATTGTTGCATGCGTTGCTATGGTGACCAGCAGTCTGCGCTCCAATCTTCAGCGTTAAAGTGTGAATTAGCAGTTCTACATTAACTCCAGCGTTTAAGACCATTTATTGTTAAACTGTGTTGAACGATCAGCAGAGCTTTATTTTACTGTAAAGGAGGATTATTTTATTTTTACCTACAAATCTGATTCTGCTGTGGAGCCGCCAGAGGATAGTAAAAGAGCCGCATGTTGCCGACTCCTGGCCTAGTATATATTGAATAATTTCTAGCAGATACTGAATGTTTTATGGTAGTCACTAAATAATTTATAGTAGTTACTGAATAACAAGCCATAATAACTGAACAATAAGCATTGTGATAAAGGAATAAAGAAAAAAAAAATCACCGACATAAAAAAAAAGCCGAAACATTTGCAATTTCCTGCTGATAGAGAACCAGCATGACTGATCAGTCTTGAGATACACTTAGAAACACTTTTAAATGTGGAAAATTCTTGAGGAAAAATTTGCTTACAGCACATTTCTGGTAGCTCTGGTGTAGCGCAACATCATCACTACAGGAGGATAACAGAGGCATCATCCACATCAACACAGTTATTTATTTCTACATTCAACATTCTCTTCATCAAAGGCACGCTGTTTTTGGGTGAGCTGCTCCTGTTAAACCTCTAAACAATTCTGTTGCTGTCAAGCCATAATGAACAAAACATTAAAGATGGTTTTGTTTCATAAGCAGTAATAACCAATAGGATAAAAATCCATGTTAAATAATGGCTGAAGGAGCTGAAGGGTGAAGGGTGGACCTCAGAACTGCTGATCTGAACATTCCTCCTCAACTCATTATTCTTCCAGTCATTAGATATTCCGCATAAACACGGTGCAAATCTTCTTCATGGACCTCCGCCGCTCTGCCCCTCTAAGATTTATGGCGGCGTGGAGCGCAATATTGACCAGCTGTAATAATGAAATGCCACGCGATGACTCTGCAGACGTTACGTGTGCAGGTGAAACATGACCACATTACCACATCGACTCCTGGCTCCGCTCTCGTTCTGAGCAGCCCTCATTATCTCCCACATGCCACCGAGCGCTAATGAATGCATGCTCACAAAATGATTAGAGTTTCTCTTTGGTAAATGTCAGTTGTGATGTGGTCACGAAAGCGATGGATGGACCTTTGTCACTCAGTGAAAGAGTTGAGAGCTTTTTTTTCTACGACAGATGGCTGGATGTGCTTTTGTAGTTCTCCACAAAGCAACAGCGCTGCTGTGTGTGTCAGTGTGCAGGCGTCTGAGACGGCGGGGACGGCAGCGCGAGGCACGGAAAGAAACGCTCTTCAGCCATCAGTGCTGTGCTGTGTGTTGGTTTAATTCATAGTAGATACTGAATAATTCATAGAAGTTACTGAATAATTTATAGTAGATACTGAATAATTCATAGTAGATACTGAATAATTCATATAAGTTAATGATTTATTGTAGTTACTGAATAATTCATAGGAGTTCCTAAATAATTGATAGTAGAGAGTAAATAATTAATAGGACATACTGAATTATTCATGAGATAGTGAATAATTCACAGTAGATACTGAATAATTCATAGGAGATACTAAATAATTCATAGTAGATACTAGATAATTAATTGTAGTTACTGAATAATTCATAGGGGATAGTGAATAATTTATAGCAGATACTAAATAATTCATAGGAGATAGCAAATAATTCTACTGAATTACTGAATAACACGTCTTAAGATAACTGAACAATAATCTTAGCGTTAAAGGTATTAAAATCACCAATATAAAAAAAAAAGCCGAAACCTTTATGAACATAAGAAAGCAATTTCCTTCTTCTACATAATCAGCATCAGTGATCACTCTTGAGACATGCAGCGCATTTAAATGTGGAAAATTCTCCAAGGAAAATCTGCTTACAGCGTATTTCTGGTAGCTCTGGTGCAGCAAAACAACATTACTACTGGAGGATTTACAGCTGCGGATTTCTTTTTTAATTTCTGCATGAGCAACAGGTGATGATATAAACAGTATATAAACCTCACTGTGGTTTGATGCTTCATTTAAGAGAAACTCACAGAGTCAGAATTTTCCGTAGTGTTGGTGAAAGAGCTACATACCTGAAGAGTCTCCCAAACTTTTTGTCTTGGCAAATGGTTATGATGCCATAAATAAAGATGGTATGTTGGTTTTAATCAAAAATACAAATTTAAAGGAAAATTGGAATGTAACAAGCTATAGACATAGCTTGTTACATTCCATAGCATATGTTTACAGGTCAAATCAAATATCCTCACAGGCCTGTTTTTGGACAGCCCTGCTCTGAAAGCTACCTCACAGGAAGTTATAGCATGAAAAGGTTGAGATGTTGTTTTATGATAGTTTTGAGCAGATTTTGGACGTAGACTAAAACTTAGAGAACACAGAGTGCTGTGAGGTAAAATAGTCCCCAAAGAAACTTTTTTTTCCAGATTTTCCACTATTTTACCATCATTGTCATTCCATATAAAACTCAGAAGATATGTGTAGGTTCGCTGCTGATTTTGGATAGTAGGTAAAATGGCTATATTTGTGTTGCAGTCATGGCGACCCCTGGTTCCTATCACCACCACCGTAAAGAAATCTGAGTTTCTACAATCAACCATTTCATATCAAACCACTCTCAATGACTCAGTTTACACCTCCAAGATTGAATTATGCAGAAAATTAGAAAAAATCTCAAATAACAGTAATCTGTAACAGACGTGCTTATGTGGTTTCTGACACTGTTTTCTATAAAAATTAACAAAAGTATAAAGAAAAATGTAGGTTTCATGAAAGCATTTTAGCTATGCAAGGTACTTTGGTGAAATATCAAACTTCAAATACACACATTTCTTAACTTACTAACTACATTTAAGAGGAAAACTAGCAAATTTCACTTCTAGCTTTAGTGTATCCACCTCACACTGCCTGACCTCATAATGAACATATTTTTCTGTGCAACTGTTCAAAGCTTGTCAGTAGATGAAGAACAGTTAGACTGAGAAATGTCATTTATATGAAACAAGATCATGTGGCAGGAATGTGACATATGACAGGTTTACAAGACAGAAATCAATTCCACATCATCTGCCTTTCAAACATGCACTGTGAAAAGTGGCTCATCAGATCAGCCTAAAAACATTACTTCATGTAGTAACAAGTAAATGAACTGGTTTTATTCAACCTAAATAAATACTTTGAATGAACGATTCTTTCAACCAGTTTATTTTTTGAGGTGAATAAAACCAGTTCAACTGCTTGTTACTACATGAAGTATTTTTTAGGTTGATCTGATGAGCTATTTTTACAGTGTGGATGAAAACCTGAGGAGAGAAAGGAAGAAAACTCCTCTGACCTGGAAATCGGATCTCTGACCGCATCAAACAAAGTCAGTCAGGGCAAAAGAAACTCTAATATAGAAATATTAGCAGTTTATTCAAGAACGCCTGGGATCCCAGAGTGGGCTAGACTCATCATATCAAGAACCCATTCATTCATTTAGAAGAGAGGGAGTGGGGCAGGCAGTGGTGATTACAGCAAGCTGGTAGCCTCCACAATGCCCACCAATCAATCAATCAATAAATAAATAAATAAATAAATAAGCAAGCAAGCAATGGTGGAGACGGAGAGGCTGGCCTGCCAATGCTGCCAATGATGAATGAGAATGAAAAAAGGGGACAGAGAGAAAGAGAGAGAGAGAGGGGGGGAGGGAGAGAGAGAGAGAGAGAGAGAGAGAGAGAGAGAGAGGGAGAGAGGGAGAGGGAGAGGGAGAGTGAGAATAGAGAAGGGAAGAGAGGGACAGAGAGAGAGACAGAGAAAGAAAGAGAGAGATGGAGGGAGAGATGGAGGGAGGGAGCGAGACATGGAGGGAGAGAGAGAGAGAGAGAAAGAGAGATGGAGGGAGGGAGAGAGAGAGAGAGAGAAAGAGAGCGAGATGGAGGGAGGGAGCGAGACATGGAGGGAGAGAGAGAGACAGATGGAGGGAGAGAGAGAGAGTGATGGAGAGAGAGAGAGAAAGAGAGAGAGAAAGAGAGAGATGGAGGGAGAGAGAGGGGGGAGAGGGGGAGAGAGGGGGGGAGAGAGAGAGAGGGTGAGATAGAGAGGGAGAGAGAGGGTGAGAGAGAAAGAGTGAAGGAGAGAAGGAGAGAGAGAGAGAGAGAGAGAGAGAGAGAGAGCGCGCATGTGTGCATGTCATGAGTCATTTTTCTTTGGTGGGACTGCAGGGTTTAGTGTCTCTGGGCTGCTTGTTAGGGACCCTCTGACATGCAGAGATGCGATGACAGAGTAAAGGGAGGAGAAAAGAGGCCAAAGAGCCATCACTCACCTTTTTTCCTGTTAAACGCTCGGCTCATGCTGGAAAAATGCTTGATCTCAGCTGTGCGTCTCAGGAATGTGCCACTTTAACCTGGAGGAACAGGAACACAACCAAAACGTTCACATTTTTACAAGAGAAAGCAGCAGATTCACTGTCACAGAGCCTTTTTAGCCATTAATTTTCAGTTAGTTTTACATGTTAAGATGAATAATAATAATGATAATAATAATAATAATAACAATAATAATAATAATAATAAGATATAGACATTATCCGGTGAACAATAATAATAAGACACAGATATTAAGATGTCGCTAGAATAAGATGAAGGGGCAGTCGCTGCTGTCCTGCACTTGCCTCATTGTATTACATTCAGCTTGCTTATGCACTCACAGTTAAATGAGAAAGTTTGAACGGCTCCTCTCAGATGAGTTTTAGAATTTTGACAATTTTAATTTTAAGTTAAAACAAGCAAAATTAAGAAATTCTGCACTTACTTTATTCAAATTGAAGCAAATTTGTAAAACTGACCACATTAAGACCTTTAATCTGCTCATCAGAGGCTTTTGCACAAACTTGAGTGAATGCCTTCACTAAAGCAAACGAAGGACAAATACTATCAAATACTAAGAAATTCTGAAATTCATATTAAAATTTTAAAGCTTCTACTTTTCACTCAAATTGTTATGCTGAAATCATTTGCAATGAAAAAAATCATTGTATTAAATTAGAAAGGAATGCAAAATAAAAAGTATTTTAAGTATTTTCAGCAGCAGTCTTAGAATTTTGGATCCCAATGTTTGTTAGCAAATCCTCTACAGGGAACACGCTTAAATAAGATATTCGTCTGCTGATTTTAACTGACTATTAATATAAGATAAAATGTGCCATAACTTTTGCACAGGCCATAGTTTGTGTTTTATTTTTTCCAATATGTAAAATTCAGTAAAGAAACAGTAACTGTGCATTAAAGCGTGCAGAAGTGAGCTCTCTGTAGAAAATGTGTTCACTTCTTTTCACTTAGAAGATCAACAAAACGTCATTTGACCAGGAGTGGCCAAACTTTTGCACACGACTATATAGAAGTTCCTCTCTTAAAGTGCAGAATATTGAGAGGAGATTATTGTAATGAAGCACCTAATCCAGTTGACCAAGACTGATAGTAAAACCTGCCCGTGTGTTATTTAAAGCCTGTAAAAAGCCTTTATTATTCTTGGCACCAACACGACTCACACTGTTTGCGCTCAGGGAGAAAAGAGTTTATCAAAACACGTGTTTATGCCTGTCATGTCACATTATTCTTAATATGATGAGGGAAAAGAAATAGTTTGAGAAAAACAATGATATTTCCTAATATTCTGGGCATATTTTACACTATCAAAGTGCAGGTTTTGCCTAAATAATTGTACTTTTCCAAACGACTGTTAAAAGCTCACATGGTAATTCTTTAGCTCTGCTATCTACTCATTACTTCTGCGCACTGTGCTTCTGTGATTTGTGGCAGAAATTTAGAAGAACACAAAGGTTAAAATGAATGCGGTTAAAATAAACACTTATTTCCAAGATGTGTGCAGTGAAGTTAAACAGGGGTTTCACAATTTCACACAACCTTCAAACCCACTCGGCTCAGACCTCAACATCAGCTCATCCCACACTTAAAGAGGAGGGTTCTTCAAGGGTTCTTTAGTTAAGGGCATGGTTCAAAAAGGGTTCTTCTATTGTTACAAGCTTGACATTGTAACAGTAGCAGAACCCGTTTGGTGTTATATAGAATGATTTCCAAAAAAGCTTAGAACCTTATACCTTATATAGACCTTATACAACACATTCTCCATTGAACTGAAGAGCCATGCAAAGAGCCAGAAAGGGTTCTATACATAACTCATGTCTCTAAATAGAATCATTGCATGTACTAAAGAACCCTTGAACCATCTTTTTTAAGTGTAATCCCTCCACTCAATGAACACACAATGGAAATAATGATTGTTTTATGTATTTTTCAGATGTATTATGTCAAAATAATGAATTAATAAGTAAATATTTTGACAAAATATGTCAAAATAATCATATTCTCAAGAAGTAATAACTCCACGCAATTTCCACTTACTAAGTCAACATCTTGAGACAACAAGTCAGAAAAAAAAATCAGAAAAGGATTAAAAACATTTCTCCTATCTGGTGGAAACTGAGCTTCATACAAAAAGCTTATGAGCCAAATGTGGTTATATTGTGCTGGTGTATGTTAATTAAAAAGTTGTGCCACCCCCACCAGGCAAAGAGTCACTCAACTGTTGGTCATTAAAGCCTCTCTTAGTAAATCTGCCCCAAAGATGAGTTTCACTATTTCACTAATTTGAACAAAGAAGCTGAATTATGACAAAGCAAAAGTAAAGAAAACAGGCGTGTTGTCTCCATTCCTGTAAAATATTAATACCTTTTGGAACAACATTTAGTCACTGTCCAAAACAAACAAACTAACAAACAAAAATTCTCTGAAAACGTAAAAGGCAAAAGTGCTCTTAACTTTTAATGAAGAGGTTTTATTCCAAGTACTTTTGAAGCAATTCTATTGGTCTATCCAACATAAAGCTTTCAGACCATGTAAAAGAGAGCTGTGTTCAAATGACACAAAAAAAAAACACAGCAACGACTTAAAATTATTAAGGCTGTAAAAATGTAAAATAATTAATCAGGATTAATCACTATTTTGTGCAGTTAGTCACGATTAATTGCATGTCTCTTCTTTGTTTTAATTTGACCCCATTCCATTTAAAAGCAGTGCATTTTGTTATTGCTGTGTGTGGATCAAATAAGCTTCATCAGGATGTATTTCACTGCTGTCGGAACAAAACCTCTCCAAAATGGTGACTTTACAGAAGAAAGAGAAAACACACTTTATTTTTAATGTAAGTCAATGGAAACAGACCCCCCACTTAATCCACTTAAAAGCTGTACTTCAACTTCAGGACAACAATCAGGGATTCTATCAAAGCAATATACAGCATGCTGCATCTGAGCCTGCACTACTACAGATGGTCTTGAAGGGTCAAACCAAGAAAATGTCTTTTAAAAGAAATCAGTGGCGCCCATAATTTGACACATTAGAAAGGCTTTGACTTTGACAGCACTAAAACAATACAAACTAAAGCTGTTCAACAAGATACAGGTTAAAGACCTAAAACATGAACTGGGTTTAGCTCTGAAAGGCGACCTGTAACTGACTGACAAAACTGATTATGTGCTGTTTTTCCAGAGCACTATTTCATGGACCATTTTCCTAGATAACCCGACCCATCAGGAAATGACCAATTACTTACACTCTGTCTGAAACAGACCCATCAATCTCTTCCTCTTAACAGACAGGCCCATTCCCCCACCACAGGAAGAAAGAGAGATTCAATACACTGCGTATACAAACAGACACATAAACAAGATTAAGCACTTTTCTTATTGCATCAACGCCGCATACACAGCGACGGCTTTCTCTCTCATCACTTTCCAAACAGTTATCGATTCATCTCATAGAAACTTCCCAGCCGGAGTTCAGAGGCAGTTCACGACTCATTTGTCTTAACAGCACAAAGGAGTCAAAACCTGCTTCAGAAAATGCTTTTAATGCCGTTTTGGCAAATTAAATTTGCGTTAAAATATCCTCCACAGCCCTCAGACAAAGCACGAGTTAAGCGTTAATGAAAAAAGCTTCATTTAATCCCACAATGCATTACTATAACCCAGTTCTCTGTCCACCAGAACAAAGCTTTTCATTCAAGTGATGTTTAAATCGACTCCCTGCAGAACGAGTGTATTAGTGCAGGTGAAACTCCGTTTATAGGACGTTTGGCATTGTATGGTAGAAATATAGCTTTAATTTAGATCCAGTTCTATTCACTGACTTTCTCCTCTTCTGTTGAAGCTTTCAGATGGAAAGAAAAGGTTTTATTAGCCTGATTAATAAAGTAATTTATTAAACTTCTTATTAAATGAAGCAGCGCTTTGACTAACATCCTGCTGAGCATCAAAGAGCTGCTTGCGTGACTGCAGACCTTATTGTTCAGCTGTCATTCATTTACCAGAAGGATTGCGGTTGTGACTCGATGTTGTGGTGAGAAGTGCCAAAAATATACTGTTACAAATTAAGATGCCTTCTTTAGAGCACCACATTTGTGGTGTAAAGGTTCTAGGAAGAACCCTTAAACTGGTATAGAACCTTTTTAAGAGCATACAGCACTGTGCAAATGTCACAGATCAACATTCTTTAATTTAATTTCCAGTCCAAACAGCCTTCAGTTATTAATTTCTCAGGAGATATTATGATTATTACATGCACTCGAATAAGAAGTGACCCTTATTAGTCCCACAACAGCGAAAATTCACCTCAGCATTTTAACCCATCCGTGCAGTGAAACACCACATACACACTAGTGAACATGCACACTAGGGGGCAGTGAGCACACCTGCCCATAGCGATGGGCAGCCCTATCCACGGTGCCCAGGGAGTAGGTGGGGGTTAGATGCCTTGCTCAGGGGCACTTCAGTCATGTACTGTCGGTTCAGAGGATCAAACCGCCGACCTTCCGGTCACAAGGCTGGTTCCCTAACCTCCAGGTAAAACGTCAGTGTTTCTATCCATCCTTCCACTGTGAGAAGACAACTCAGCGCTATGGGTCTGAAAGGATGTGTAGCTGTCAAGAAGCCTCACTAAGAAAAGGAGACGGACACATCAAACAAAGAAGCTGAACAATGGACTGACCACCCCAGAGTCCAGACCTCAACACCACTGACATTTAATTAAACTGTAATTTTGATTCTTCTAAGCATCAACCTTTAATGAATGCTATATTCCACTAGCATTGTCATTAGCTTTGGAATTTACAGCCAACACTCAACAGTGGCGTATAACAATCTTCTTTTTTTCATTTTACATGTTTAAATGTTCAGAGTCATATGTCTGACAGGACAATATATACTGACTTGATTTGGGCCACAGAGATCCCCAAAAAAAGGAACTTTACAAACGTAGGGATAAAACGTTCCTTACTGTCAATGAAAGTTAATATAACAAGATTTTATTCTAAATATTTTGGACCATT